TTCATATATCCCTTTTAAACAGTTCTCTCCCTCTGTTCCTCCCATCGTTCCTCCCATCCTTTTCTGTCTTCCCTCAACCTTGATGTCAGTACCGTTTTACAACAGTGGCCTTATGCAATATTTGTCCTTTTGTGACTGAGATATTTCACTCAGCATAAAGTCCTCCAGGGTCATCCGTTTTGAATAACATGTCATGAGTTCCTTGTTTTTCAGTGCTGCATATTATTCCATCGTGTGAATATACCAGAGCTTCTCTATCCATTCATTTGTAGTATTTTCAAGACGTTTTTGACATCAGATTTGCCCGACACAACATGTCTCTTGATTTCTCTGTGTTGATTGTGGATCCAGGTGAAATTGTTAACAACTTCCATCTTTCCCCTGTTTATCATGATATTGTTTATTGGGCCAGTTGTGAGGTTATATGGGTTTGGAGGTTTTGAAAACTTTTACTATTTATGTCATCACTCACCTTCATATACTCATTCATATACATTGCTTCATCCATGTACATTTTGTTTTATACCATCCTTTCTGTACATTGTGTTTATATAATTAATCCCTGTTGATCGGTTACTTTTGTCTCCCACCTCCTCAAGCTCCTGTTGCATCTGAACCTTTTCCTTCACCCTCATCCCCCATCAGTCTCTGCTCTCACTGTCCACCTCTTCCTTCCTCCACACCCCTTCTCCCCTTTCCCTTTGAAACAGTTATTTTATTTATGTGTGTATTAGTATGCCATCAATCAAGTGGGAGCTCTGGTGGCCTAGTGGCAAGAAGCTGCGCTGCAATCCCGAAAACATGCAGTTTGAGAGTTTGAGGCCACCCGCTGTTCCGTGGGAGGAAGATGAGCAGTCTCCTTCTGATGGATTTACAGCCTCGAAAACCAGCTGGCAAGTCAACCAGGGGAGGGTTCCGATTGACAGCACCAAGTTGGAGGTTTTCAGAGTGTCGTATGTCACAGGTCCGCCATCGGGCTGTCCCTCTCGCCATTAGGGCTTCGTGTTTATCCTGCTCTCCTCACTCTATTGACTCTAAATTCTTAAACTAATCTGAAGGGTGAATATTTTTAAATGGGGCTTTTTCAGAAACAACATTCATGAGTGGGAAGAAATGTTATATTCGTTTTTGTGTCATTGTTGTTGCTTACCTTTGAGTCACAACCGACCCATAACTGACCCTCCAGCTGGTTTTCAGAGGCAGTTAATTGCATGGGCGGAGTTTGCCCATCCTTCTGCAGAGCAGCTGGTGGCCTCAAACCCTGTGCCTTCGGGAGTGGGGCGCAGCTTCCTGCCACTAGGCCACCAGAGCTCCCTATATCATTCTAAGTTTTAATTTTTATTTCATTTTGTATTCTATATGTACTTTCTCAGGGTATTTGGGGGAGCAACAAAAGGCAAGGCTCTGTGATTTATTATCCAAGAACTGGCTTCCCCAGCACGCCTGGTGACGGTGCAGTCACCTGTGTTGATTAGTCACTTTTTTAAAAATACACTGCTTTTGCTTATGTGCCTGGGTAATTTTCATATTTTCTGTTCACACTGTTTGGCTGTTGATTTGTTTTACTAGCATCTTAATTTTATTATTTTGTTTCATAATACTTTCTAACATACAGTGGGCAGATTCTGTCATAATTACCTTCTTTTTCAGAAGTTTCTCAGCTGTGTATGGACCTTTTTCTTGCAGATAAATATAAAAATAATTTCCTTTCAGAACATGGTATTTGCATTCGAATCTGTATTTCTGTTTCTTGCTTTTTTGAAAGGGTTCCTTCTTTATCTGTAGAAGGGGGCTTGCAAGAGCAGCCTTTTGATAGGATTGTTGTTGTTATTTACCGTCACAAGTTGCAACTGACCCATAAGCGACCTTCCAGTGGGTTTTCAGAAGCATTCAGTCACACAGGAAGAGATTGACCATCCTTCTCCCGCAGAACAGCTGGTGGATTTGAACTGCATGCTTTTGGGTTTGCAGCACACCTTCTTACTACTAGGCTGCCAGACCTCCGATTAGGGTATGGATTATATGAACACACACACACACACATACACACACAAAGTGTTAATGTGGTAGATCCGCTCAAAGCCCGTTGTGATATTCCCCAGGACTCTAAGATCCCTGTCCAGTTGTGCTTCATTTCTGAAGTTTCCCAGGTTCGTTTGAAAAAAAGGCAAAGAGAACTCTGGGTTCTGACTAACTCGGGAACCAGGTACATTGGCCCGGGTTAATCCACTGTGGCCTGAGGGAGCTCCCTCCACGCTTGCTGCAGGATTCTGGAGGGTCTCGGGCCCAGCATCCTGCCCCAGCACTGCCCGTTCTGCAGAACCACCATGGGGTTGGGGAGAAGGGCGTTCACACTCAACATGCCATGACCTGGTAACCATTTTACATCATTTTATAGACAGAACCAGAACAGGAAACATAGCTATCAATGTGGTAGTAGCAAACTCATCTTCATCTTCCACCAGCCTGGACAGGACTCCCCCGGTCCCCAGTGTACACCTTCAGTGGCAGCGATGACACTGTGTGCGTGGGCATGGCGGGACGCCCCAGACCTTGTGCACACGTTCAGTGGCAGCAATGGCACTGTGAGGGTGTGAACTGCTCCAGCGAGGAGAGGCAGTAATGACTCTGGGGTTGGGGTGACAGGACTCCCAGGTCCCCAGTGCACACCTTCGGTGGCAGCGATGGCACTGCGAGGGCGTGAACTGCTCCAGCAGGGAGAAGCCAGTAGCACAAGGTGTCCAGAGTGTAACTCCAAGGAGCTCAGCTCCTCCACAGGATGCCCTCGGGTAGAAGAGGTAACAGAGTGACTCCTATCTTCTGAAGGGCTTTTAAATAGTTTTGGACTAGAAGACTCTCAAGCCCTACCTGCCCACTCGCAGACCTCCCCAATCCAAATGCAGTCCACCTGTCGAGTCACTTTTATGGTAAGCTGGTACGGCAGACGACTCACACTTCTTTTAACCCAGCTCAGTTCAAGGAAACAATATAAGGTGGTAAACTCGCCCTCATCTTCCCATGGAGAGCAGGTTGAAGTCTGCACTAGGCCTTTTCTTCTCACCCTTGGTCTTTTTCCTGGAATTACACTTTTCAAACAGGAATTGGGGACAGAACTTCTCTATTCTACTAAGAAAACCTTGCCACCCCATTTACAGGGACAACAGGGAACCTTCGGAAAGTTCCTTTCTTGGACCTGCTGCTTGGTCTCGGTCTTCAGCACTTAAAGTTGGTCTGCCCTCAAGTCTGCTCTTGCTTGCCACATTCCCCTGCCTCTTCTGCATTTGTAATTGTTTTTACTCCAGAACAGTTAATAATATTTTAACACAAAAAAGAAGATACATACATACATTGTATACACACACACACACACACAAATAACTTTCTTTCCCACATAGGCTACATTTTCTTCTTTGCTCCAGTTATTCTGTTTTCTCCTTTCCCTTTCAATAAATGTGAAAAACACAACTCCTCTTGGCAATTGGCACATCTGTCCCTCGATCAGAGCTGCCCCTGAGCTGGGGAAGGTGCCTTCCAGCTACCTTATCCCAAATGAGTTTGCTGATGAGTTACTCAGAGTATTGGTCTGACAGGTGTTTGGGAAATCCAATCAAAATTCCATTTAGTGACAATGACGCTTTACTAAGTGATTTTGCATAATCGGGCACCCAGGCCCAAAGAAGTAGGCTGGCCTGCCCTCCACAGCCCACCAAGGGTTTCTGTCTCCTAGCTCACAAGTCCTTCTCCCAAATCCTTATTAACTGAGTATTAAGGAGTGTACATTTCCGCATGTAGCAAAGTCCTGTCGCCTCTGTTCCAACCCTGTTTTCCTCCCTTACCCCCTGACCGCGCTTACACACTATTCCTGGGCCGTGTGGTCTGACGTCTCCTTTGGGTCAGCTTGGGACTCCTTATCACACACAGCCTTTGTTCTCTTTTACCTTGAAGATGGACCAGTCTAAAGTTTATTTCTTACAAAAGGGGAGAAAGTCTCTTTTTGGATGAGATTGTTTTCTTCTTTTGTGCCCTTAGGATCATTCCAGGGAGCATATCAAGAAACTTGGCTGGGTTGTTCATTTTCTGGAGTAAGAGTAGGCCTTACTCCTCGCTGGGCCAGCTCTGGTTGCCTCGCCAGGCTTACCTGTATGTCTCCCAGCATCTCATGGTGAGGCAGATGCTTTCGCCTCATGAAAAGCCACAGAGTCCACACATTCCTGCCCGTTTTCAGATGGCAGGCGCTGAGCCCTAACCAAATGTCCTGACTCCACCACGCTCTGTCTTCCTTCTCCACTGCCTTTGTTTACTGACACGTGGGGAAAGGTGAGGCTAGCAGGTTGGATTCTTTCAAGCCTGAGTGCTGAGTTCACTTACTGAATTCACTGACTTGCTTTCTTTGTGAAATCTTTAGTCAGAGAGTCTAATCCATATATTAAAAATAAAAACAGAACAAAACACAACAAACTCCTTGCTGTCTTGCCAGAGTTGACCCTCCGGCAGGTTGTCCGAAGCTGTAACTCATACAGGAGGAGGCTGCTCATCCTTCGCCTCCGGAGAAGCTGGTGGATCCGTGTCTCGGGAAAAGTAGCCGTGGGTTTAGGAGTGCAGCTTCGTCTGGACTAGGTCGCCAGGGCTCCGAATCCTACGTAGGAGCTCAGGTTGACACAGTGACTGCCACAGCGGGCCTGAGCACATCACACCGTGTGAGCGTGGCACAAGGCAGGACATGGTTCCCATCTGCCCTTCATAGAGTCACTGTGAGTCACGGTTCTCTCCATGGCACATAACAACAGGCCAGCCCTAAACTTTTAAAGATGTTTAAGTCCTTTTCCAGTTAGATATTTGAGGTGATAGCCTCTCTTAAGAATTGATTTCTACTGAAGATGGTCCAGTAGTTTTTGCTCCTGTTTCTATTCCATTGTAGAAATTTGGTTTCATGTCTTCAAGTATCAAAACTATGAAATGCAGCCCTGGTTGTTCTCACAGTACGTTTTCTCTGCCTGCAGACGAATTTTAAAAAGTGAGCCTCCATATCCCCAAGAAATGAGTGCTTCAGCCAAAGACCTGCTTCAGCGTCTTCTGATGAAAGATCCCAAGAAGAGACTGGGATGCGGTCCACGCGATGCGGATGAAATCAAAGAGCATCTCTTCTTCCAGGTAAATGTGTCGGCAGATGGTTTCGAGCCCCTGCTGTTTTCTTGGTGTTCCAGGCTCTTGGCAGAACGACGGTGCTTCCTGGAACTTTTCTCCTGATTTCACACACACAATTGTGCATCTTCTAGATGATGAGGACCAAAATCCTACTTATAAAGACCTACGTAGTACTTTCCCCCCCTGAATAGAGAGGAGATGGGCAGGGTCACGAGAGCATGCCGCTTTCTACATGTTAACTGATTAGTCTCTGGGGATGAGCTCAACGTGGAGGTAGACAGACCGAGGAGACTCTGTTATGCTTTTCGCTTCTCTGGTGCTTCAGGAGCTCTTCTAATAGTGATTCCTTCTTTTCTTCCAGGAGAGATTTTAGAAACTCAAACTCTCCTTGTTTCTCAGTTACATCTCTGTACCACAGAGAACACAGTTCGCTTGTCTTCTTACATGGGGCAGTGCTCCCTTAGCCTGAAAAGCCTCAGGAGACCAGCACACTTGCTCAGGGACTCCGAAACATGAGGAAAAGAGTAGTCCGCTGAAGAAAGCGTTGGCCAGAGTGGGGTGGCTGGGTAATGCCGCGGAAGCCGTCATGGGCGGGTAGCGTGACTTTGTTTCTGAAACTCTGGGTGTATGACTCTTAAACCGTTTCATCATCTCAGCAAACTTGTGTGAGTGTTTTTGGTCTAAAGGAACCATCTAGCTTTTATTTTCACTCTGACAGCTAAGTTCTTTTTTTTTTCCTCCCATGGTATGTTTTTACTTTTTATTTGAGTGAATTTGCAGATATTATGTTTCATTCAATCATTCCTACACATTTTGTTTTATAATATTGCTTACCATTTATTAATGTAATTAATAAACAGAGCTCCGGTGTCCTGGTCTGTAAGGAGTTTCATGCCTAACCCAAAGGCTCTCATTGTATATTGCCTTTTCTGTCACCCCCACCCCCACCCCATCCCTGGTAATCATCTGAGTTCTTATATGAAGTTCTTACATTACCAGTTCCAGAAAGATGAAATCAACATACAAAACACCAGAAAAATTACAGCAGTCCAGAATAAGAGGTGCCTAGCAAAGTGGACTGGGGGCGGGGAAAGGAGGAAATTGTGCAACAATGAAAGAATCTTTTTCAAGAGAAAATGAACTGGGGGCGGGTAAGGAGGAAACCGTGCAACAGTGAATGACTAGAAATCCAAGTTTTCTGTAAACTTCCGTTAAAATATCAATTAAAAAAGGATTTTTTTTAAAAAAATACCAACAAAAATTCTGTAGAAAGTAATTTTTCTTGTTAGTTAATAGCTTGCAAATCCTTGAAAATTGGAATTCTTGCTCTCCACGTCAGTGCTTAAAAGCATGCAGATTGGTTTCCTAAAACAACCATTGAAGAGGGAGAATTTTAGGTTAAAAGCTTCTCACAAGTGTAACAAGTAAAATAAATGTGCCTGTGATATAACTGGGGGGAATAAAATAACCGTTTAAAAAATATTAGTGCCCATCCCTTAGAGTTCAGTGACATAGTGAGAAATACACAAGGAATAAAATAGATTTGTCAGTACATGTTTTTCATATAGATTCATGTGGCTTAGAGAGATTAAACCTTGATCACATTTTCAAATATCCAATTCAGCTGTTTGGTACAAAAATCAACAATCAGGTAAAATTCAATAAACTATTCAAGCACGAAACCCCCAGGTAGATTTCCCTAGTTCTTTACTCCATGTTTCTCTTTCTCTTTGGAGACATTTCTCAGTGTTTGACATTTCACAGCCTTGGCATCATCATTGGAGATTACTTAATTGCCTTAAATGGCAAGGGACACTTTAGGAAAAAACAGAACTGTAATTGTAAAGACCTAAATGGTGTTCCCCATCACCACCACTCTCAGATGGAACAGAGTTGGGGGACTACAATAATTCTCCATTGTCTGCTTACCAAATTCCATTGTTCATAAGGTTTTCCAAGGCCTGTACTTTCAGAAGTGAGTGGCCTGTCCTTCTTCCTCGTCTGTCTTAATCTAGAAGCTCTGCTTTAGTGCAGCATCTGACAAACAGGCACTGTACCCAAAAGAGCAAGTGACACACAAGCAAACATCCATGTATTCAGAGCGGCCACATGTAAAGACAATTCCCCAGTACAAACTGACAGATAAATGATACCCTTAAGAGGAAACCAGAAGGACAAACAGATATATAGATAGAATGGTGAGGGTGACAGGGAGTCCCTCATCAAGGCCGCAGCACAAGGTACAGAAGGCCTGAAGGTTATCTGGCCTTGGTCAGCAATGGATGCATCTATCTTATCAGTGAGAGGCCATGAGGGGAGGCCTCTAGCCACTAACATTGTGTCTCAGGCTCTAGTCCTCCCCACCTGTTTTCTGAGTGCTCCCCCATGAGTCCTCCCCACCTGTTTTCTGAGTGCTCCCCCATGAAGATGGCACTCTGAGCCAGCTCCCAGCATGTGTGGGTGCTGCCTGCTACCCCACCCCAGGCCTCCCAGTCCAGCTCCTGGTGACCATCTGGGTATTATGATTGCTTGTTGTACATCTGAGAGCTGGACAGTGAATAAGGATGACAGAAGAATCGATGCCTTTAAATTGTAGTGCTGGAGAAGAGTACTGAACCATGGACTGCCAAGAGAACGAACAGGTCTGTCCTGGAGAGGGTGAAGTTGGGCTGCTCCCTGGAGGTGAGGATTTTGAAGCTCCGTCTCACATACTTTGGCCATGTTGTCAGAAGGGACCAGCCCTTGGAGAAGAGCCTGTTAGTGTGGAGGGACAACACAGAAAAGGAAGACCCTGGGTGAGATGGATTGGTGGCAATGGGATCAGGTGTATCAGAAATGAATGAGGAGGTTGCCTCAGGATAGGGCAAAGTTCAAGGCCATTGTAGGTGTGAGTTAAAGTTGATTTGACCGCACTTAGCAACAACCTAACAGTTGCTCTCCTGCAAACAGCACATTTCTTTTTCTTTTTTTTTAGAAAATATATACTTTATTTGGTATTAACAGGTTTGAACATATTTTTGGGGGGGTCCCATTCATTCATTGTTATAGAACAGGACTAATATGGGGGTGGGGGAACTAAGAAAAGAGGGGATAAAAAATGTACATGGCATTGAAACAGACGAGGGAGAGAACTGTATAAAAGGAACATATGCTTGAGTATTATTGGCATGACAGGAGTCCAGGATAAGAGCTGCATAGTAAAGGCGGGGGGAGCGGGGGTGTACAATAATGAAAGAACTTTTTTTTCCAAAGAAAAAAGCAAACTGAGGGACAGGGGGGACTGGGAAGAAAATATGTAGCACATTTCTTTAAATGATGCCTTTCCACTACAAGTTAAGCAGAAATACCCTGCAAGAGGAGTCCTAGTGGTGCTGTGGTTAAAGCACTTGGCAGCTAACGAGGTGGGAGTGAGATCAAAGGCAGACCTCTGCTTGACTTAAGATGTGCAACCTCGATAAGGGTTTTTTGAGGCCCTGCACTTAATGGCATGTGTCATTTGTAATTATGTTCCAAAACAAAATGTGCGTGAATGATTGAATGAAATCCAAGATGATTTGTGAATTTGCGATCTAATTTAAAAAAGAATAATAAATGAGAGGAACAGAAGATTTGGGACTTTGAACACATACAGACACACACACACACACTCACACATACCGGGGCCTTTCTGTGTATACAGGACTACTGTGACTCTGAACTCTTGGTAGCTCTGAGTTTAGTTTTGGTCTCACTCCCCAGGCCTCCCTCAGTGTCTGTGTCAAGGGCAAGTGAGCTGGTAAGAGGAACCAGTACCGGCCACAAAGACCAAAGAGACCACCCTCTGTCAGCTCCTTGGGATTCTTCCACCAGCTTGACTTTAAGTGAAAGAGTCCGTCTCAGTTCTGGACTTCTGTTTTCTCCTGGGTCAAATTTTAAAACTTTTCATGATCTTTAAGAGCCCATTTTTTAAAAAAATGTTATATTAATATTAGTGAACATTTACAGAGATTTTGAATTTCCATTCATTCATTGTTGTACTTTTCTCCCTGCCCCCACCCCAGTTCACTCTTCTTTTTGAAAAGTAAAAGAAAAATTCCTCCATTGGTATACAATCCCCCCACCTTGCCCCCCTGCCCCAAGTACACTCCACTATGCAACTTTCATTCTGGACTCTTCTCATAACCATAATACCCTATCATATATCGCTTTTAAACTGTTCTCTCCCTCATCTGTTTCAATGCAGTATATATCATTTATCCAGTTTTTCTCAGTCTTACCCCAACCCTGATGTGAGTCGCATTCTGCAACAGTGGCACTATACAGTATTTGTCTTTCTGTGACTGAGATATTTCACTCAGCATAAGAGCCACTTTTAGCTAAAAAAAAATCTGAAGAGTTAGAATTTAATAAATTTATCTCCATTCTGTCCACAAGGGGGCATAAGAAAAACATTTTATGTTGCTTATAGTAACTGAATTTTATCAGCCAGGAAGTGGAGGTTTTCACATCATGAAATCTGTCTCCATCTTATAATGGACTGTGTCTTAGTGTTCTCACTGAGAAGGCTTTTTTTTTTTAGGGTTTTTTTTTAATTTATTTATTAATTTTAATGAAAGTTTACAGAGAAGAGACTTAGGATTTCCAGTCATTCATTGTTGCACTTTTCTCCCCGCCCACCCCCTCATCCCAACTCACTCCTCTCCTTGAAAAGAAAAACTCTTTCATTGTTATGCAATCCCTGCCCCTCAAGTCCACTCCACTATGCAGCCTTCTCTCTGGACTTCTGTGATGACAAGAATACCCATTCATATGTCCCTTTTAAACAGTTCTCTCCCTCATCTGTTTCAATGCAGTCTACATCATTCCTCCCCTTCTTTTCTGTCGAGAATGCTTTTTTTATCTTTGTTGGTGGTACATAAACTAATGGCACGTCCTACAGTCAGTGATGAAGAAATAACAGGAGGGCTGTAGTGTTACGTGAGATGATGCAAGTGACTAAAAGGAACAAAGAAAGCACAACACAGACACGAAACAGGGTTAGATTTGTACAGTAGAAAACATAGCAGTTAATCATAGAGTGGGTGTCGGACATGGGTGGAGAGGGACCGGACGTTGTTCCAGAGGGGAGATAAAGACAGTGTTTAAACAGCTTGACCCTCATTGAGTTAGAAGAGAGTGAGTACATGAATATGACAGCATCATTGACAGCTACAGACAGAAGCAAACCATGGTCTCGAGTGGATTTGCTTAGGTTCTGACCTTCCACATAACCAGGAGGGAAAATAAACACAGGGAAAACGAAGAAACAGTGCTTCTAGAACATAGGACTCTTCTTTTAGAATTGGTATTCATGTCCACACAGTGCTACAAATCCCTTTACCTTTTTCTTTACTGGTTTTTTTTTTAAATACTTACCCTCTTTCTCAGTTGTATTCCTTCTGTGTCCCTAAGGCCACACTTGGACAGACTGCAGCTTAGGTGCACCTTACGGGGCCAAGATCTCACAGCCTCTGGGCGTGTTGGGGGTGGGGACAGTGCTTAGGAAAAGACGTCAAGCTGGGGAAAGAAGTGAGTCCATGAAAGAGATGACAACCCTCAACTGGATAGACAGACATGGTGACTGCAGGCATGGACTCGGGGTTGGGAGAAGGCTCAGGCCAGGGCAGGGCTCCAGTCTGTTGTTCGTAGGGTCAGAGTGAGTCGTAGTCAACTTGATGACACCTAAAACAACCACAGCAATTAGGATGTCTTGCTGTGCCTCCCATCCCCCATGCAGGGGCCAGACCCCATCACTCACTCCCTCTCTGCTATGGAGCCAATAACTCCATTGGTTTTCTGACAAGGTCAATTGCATTAGAGAAGCTTGCCTATCTTTTTCCTTCAGAGTCACTGGTGGATTTGAAATGCCAGAGTCATGGCCTTTGGGTTGACGACACAGCTCTCTACCAACTAGGCCTCAGTGGTTGTCTAAAACCATCACATCTCCCAGTTACACTGTGACCTTAAGCTACAAGCAGACAATGTGCTTTTGTTTTTCTTAATTACGGTGTTGGCAAAGAGTATTAAATGTTCAACAAATAATCCTGTAGGTTGAACTGTATGAAGATGACTGGTGTCAGTATTAAAGAAAGCCCCATCAGTAATCAGAAAGACGAATCAGTGAGGGACACTGCTGGCCTAGTGGTAAGGAGCTGTGCCGCCAACCCAAAGGCACGGAGTTCAAACCTACCAGCTGCTTCGCGGGAGAAAAGATGGGCAGTCTATTCCTGTTTGATTTAGAGCTTCTGAAAACCCGCTGGAGGATCAGCTTGCAGTCAGTTCTGAAGGACATAACAACAACATCAGGAACCTGCCTTACATAGATGGAACAACCTGGCTTGCAGAAAGTAAAGAGGACTTGAAACGCTTGCTTAAGAAAATGAACAAGTGCATCCTTCCATACGGATTATGTCTCAACATCAGAAAAAAAAAATCCTTCCAAGTGAACCTGGGGACAGCATCATGGTAAATGGAGAAAATATAGAAGTTGTGAAAGTTTTCATCGTCAACATCCATGAAAGCAACAGTCAGGAAATCAGAGGACTTACTACATTAGCAAATCTGCTGTCTGGAACCTCCTTAAAATACCTAAGCACAAGCATGTCCATTTAAAGACCAAAATGTGTCTTATGCAAAACATAGTATTTTCAGTTCTTTGTATGCTTATGGAAGTTGAGCAGTGAACAAGGAAGACTAAAGAATTGGTGCCTTTGAATTGTAGTGTTGGCTAAGAGCATTGAATGAATATTCCATGGGCTGCCAAAAGAACAAACAAATCTGCCTTGGCAGGAGTGCAGGCGGGGTGCTCCTTCAAGGCGAGGATAATGAAGTCTCATCTCACATACCTTGGGCATGTTGTCAAGAGAGGCCATATATATATTTAGAGACAGAGAGAGCTTTATCTCTAGGAGATGGGTCATGCAGCTGGGTAGGCTAGTGAACCGCAAAATTGTGGGTCAGGTGTCAAGCTGGAGCCATCTCTTGACTCATACAGTTATTGGAGCTGAAAACCCCAAAATGGGCAAGTCTGCTGGCCCAGGAGACTGAGTTGGTTGGTGTTTGCTGCCAAGAACTGACTCATAGTTGACCCTCCCTCAGTGGGTTTTCAGAGGCTATAAATCGTGTGAGAGGAGATTGCCAATCTTTCTTCCAAGGAGCAGCCAGAGGAGTCACACTGCCTGCCTTTGGGTCGGCAGCACAACTCGCTACTGACTAGATGAGAGATGAGTCCCCAGGTGAGACACCAGGGTTCTTGCTCACATCCTGAGAACTGAGGTCAGAGTTGAGAGAGGAACGCAGCTTTGCCAGAACATCCATATAAATGGAATACAGACCACGCTCCCAAGGAAACACCTCTAATACTGATTTACTACCCACATCACATCACACAATGGAAGATCATTATATCAGAGAATCCCTGAGAATTTCGCTAGCCAAGAAGACATATAACCATTACCCTCTCTTCCTATTAATTAATTAAAATCCTAAATGGTAGTTGTTATTTTTAGGAAATAGATGTTTACTTTCTTGTTTTTTATTTCCTACCCATTTTCTTTCTCCACTTTAGAAGATAAATTGGGATGATTTAGCGGCCAAAAAGGTGCCTGCGCCATTCAAGCCCGTCATTCGAGATGAATTAGATGTGAGTAACTTTGCAGAAGAGTTCACAGAAATGGACCCCACCTACTCCCCCGCCGCCCTGCCACAGAGCTCCGAGAGGCTGTTCCAGGTACTTGTCAGACTTTTGTGTGCAGACACGGTTCCTGTGTGCTTCTCCTGTGTAACTAAATAGCAGATACTGTGCCTATGAAGAAGCTTCATCTTTTGTAGACCATTTAAGAAGATTCTGTTTTGGTTTCTTTTCTTTCTGAAATGCTTTTTAAGAAATAATAAAAATTTTTTTTAATTACTGAACTATTACTTATGTTTTACCTTCAATGAATAACCTTAACTGCTTTACAAGTGTGAAAAAAATTTCAAAGGATTTTCTTGTTAGGGAGGGATTTTTATCACAACTCTGTGTAAGACTAAGTCTTCTATCAAATGGCATCATGCCTTTACTGCCCTGATCATCCGAGGGTCTCCTTGGAATGATCTAATCTAGCCCTGTTGAGTATCACCCACTTCCAGCACAGGGCGAACACATTGTGGGCATTACAGAAATACGTGTAACAATACATGAAACAAATGTAGCTGTTAACAGAAATGAACTTGACAGTGTTGTAGCATGAATTGATCCGTCATCCTTTCTTGGTGCAGCACACCACTCTGCTTTATTTCTTTTCTAAAACTCAATTTTAAATTTCATTCTGATGGCGAGCTCTGGTGGCCTAGTGGCAGGCAACTGCATTGCAATCCCAGAGGTGCGTGGTTCAAATCCACCAGGTGCTGTGCTGGAGAAGGAGGAACAGTCGCCTCCTGTACCAGTCAGATCCAATTTGATGGTACACACGTAAAATAAATAAATAAATAAAATGTAAAAAAAAAAAAATTCATTCTGAAGAGGTAAAACAACAATCAAATAATTTCAGAATTAGAAACTAGCTGTAAACTAGCTAACTATTTTTCTAGTTTGAAAACTCGTAGCACTGGATCATTTTATCTGATAACTGCATTTTTAAGAGATAGCTGCATTTATAACTAACTTTTATCCGTAATGCTGAAGAATTTCCGTTGGGAGGCAGATTTTGGAGACGTAATGAGAAGGGTTCTGTTTCTGCCCTTCGTTTTGAGTTGGTTATATTCCACCAGAAGATGGCATTATTTCCTTCTGAAAAGCTTTCCTATTGCTTCGAAATGAGCCTGCATTTTGAATTGCAAATAAAATGAAATGAGAGTCACCTCAACAAATGTCTGGATGTTTTCACTAGTTTTTTTCTTCATGTAAGAAGGAAAAACCGTCAGCCTCTTCTGTGCTAAGCCTGATCTCAAGTCCTTCCTCTCTCTCTTTATTTGTCTTTAGGGCTACTCCTTTGTCGCCCCTTCTATTCTCTTCAAGCGCAACGCAGCGGTCATCGATCCTTTCCAGTTCCCCATGGGGGTCGAACGTCCAGGAGCGACAAATGTCGCCAGGAGTGCCATGATGAAGGTATACAGACGCGGTTGTTTAAGTGACGCGCTGATGGCTTACATGAATGTTTAAATGCCAGCTCGAGTTAGCATCCTCGAGCCTATAAAGGCAAACTTGAAAGATTGACCGTACAACTACAATGTGCCTTCTGACAAAGCTAATAAATGGCCATAGCTGTGGTTGCCTGGGGAATTAACATCCATTGGATGAGCTCCTTTGTATAGAAGTAAATTATATCTCTTAAATAAGTGATAACAGGGGAAAATACAAATGGACTAAAAGGTGACCTTTGAAATAGAAAAGTATTCCAGAGATGATTTTAGAATCTTACACCTTATATTCATAGTCTTCATATTGTAATATTGGATTTCTCAGTGATCTCCTTTTTCCTTAAGTTAAATGATGCCCTTTTCTCCCAGGACTCTCCATTCTACCAGCACTATGACCTGGATCTGAAGGACAAGCCGTTAGGAGAAGGGAGTTTTTCCATTTGCCGAAAGTGCACACACAAAAAAAGTAACCAGGCTTTCGCAGTCAAGATCATCAGCAAAAGGTATGACCATTTTTGGTAGCCTTTCTGGTGTGTACATGATCACCAGGACTTTGTAATTACGTGAAGATATTTATTTAATAGGGAGTCAAGGGCATTCGTTAGAAACAAAGCTTTTTAACCTTACGCTTATCACTTGTCTCCTCAGATGAGCCCTAAGATTCGGATACCGTAGTCCATTTTAGGCGTAGATCATGGTGTTTCATTCTTTTGAGTTTATCATGTGAAAACGTGGTGTGGCAGTACCATTTACTGAGACTTGCCTGGTGACTTCCCCAGCTGTTGCCATTCCTATCAGTCCTGTAACTAGAATACCTTTTCAGAACTTACTTGGCCAGCTCCTGGTACACAGGAGGGAGAGCCAGCTAGGTCTCTTTGGTAACTGTGTTTATCACCATAATTGCATATTCTTATTACCAAACTGTCAGGCAAATAGAACACACAATTCCTCATATGACTTGCCCTTTTCTGACTCAAATATAATCCTTTCACTCCAAAATAATGTGTTCCTTTTTCTGGTGGGAAGAATGATTCATTGCTTTCATGGAAACCACATTCCGATATTTTGACGCATATTTTCTGAATGCACTGTAAATAAAAACAAAATTTAGTCTGGGGCAATACTGCCACTGAAACTTGATGAGATTCGTAAACGCTGTCTACTTCCTCCTGCAGGATGGAGGCCAATACCCAGAAAGAAACCACAGCTCTGAGGCTCTGTGAAGGACACCCCAACATAGTGAAGCTGCATGAAGTTTTCCATGATCAGGTAGTACCCCACCCTATTTTTGTGACATAATTTACATACAGTTATCAATTACAGTATGATGTAGCAGGAGGACAGTGGGCTTGGGGCCTGATGGCACTGTGTTTATTACCATACCAGCTGCTGTCCACTGTCACTTAATTGTTGCCTGCCCCACAGGACCCAGTGTCATCTTCACTCTCAGCTTTCGACTTCCCTTCTACTTCTAGAATTTGGAATCTTACTCTAAGGAGGAAGGAGAAGCGAAAGGCCAGGACACACGTCTTCCACCTTCTTGTTGCAGTTGACATTTTCTGCTCAGATCACAGGCCAGGTCGCATGCCCTCCACAGACACCCTTGGGATGTGGAACACATGGCAGCGGGTGTCAGTTCTCTGTCTTCTCCCGTGATAGACATGCCCCGTTACCCTTTCCTAGACCCTGCCGCACCCCAAGACTGGGTGATACAGCCCTACCCGTAACAACATAGTAGACACAATGGCTAAAACGTAGCCTGGAGGTGGTTAGCCCTGATTCTACCATTGAAGAAATTGGAGATCAGCGGGGTCATGAGACGGGGCCGGGGCCACACTGCAAGTAGGTTAAAATCTGATAGAGAACCTGGTGTCCACTCCCAAGTGCTCTTGATGTGCGGCTTGAGCGAGGACAGCTACAGCTGGTTCTCCACCACATCTCGGCCTCCAGAGGACCAGGACCGAGGAGAGCCGTCAGGATGAGGCCAGGCAGAGGCAACAGGATGTTCATCATCGCAGGAAGGATCCCTGCGGCACAGAGGTTAACCACTGGACTGCTAACAGGAAAAAAAAATCGGTAGTTCAATCTCACCAGCTGCTCCACAGGAGAAAGGACCTTGGTGTCCTGCTTCCATCAAGATTCCTTGAGCACCCAAACCCACATCTGTCAAGTTCATGCCAATTCATAGCATCCCTGTGAACACCCTTGTTAAGTGCTGGCAAGTCGAGTGTGACTCATCCCAACCCTGTGAACAGCTCTGAACCCTGTCCCATCCTGTGTTGTCCCCAGTACAGCCGATGGCTGCAGTTACTATCAGTCCGTCTCTCTGGGGGCCTTCTCTTTGGCTGAACCTCTGCTTTCCAAACATGATCTCCAAGGAATCAACTGAATAAAACTCCCCAAAGGGTTTCCAAAGCTGTCAGTCTTTATCGAGGCAAACCTGCCTTTTCTCCTGCAAAATAGCCATTGGATTTGAACTGCCAGTCTTCCTGTTAGTAGCCCATTGCTTAATCTCCGGCACCTCCAGTTTGCAGCCTCTCCAATTTGTAGGGTAGTTCCCGTCTGTCCTGTAGAGTCACTACTCATCAGAATCAACTCCACGGCACAGGGAGAAAATGGAACTGATGAAAGTTAAGACTCTCCCAGGCCTCTGTTGTGAACGGGGCTCTGAACCTAAGCTGTCCCGGCTTTCAGTGCCATTGTTCTAGTGTCTCGGGCTGGGGGTGGAAAACACGGCCTAGTTGTCACATCAGGAAAATGAACAGAAACGTCATCATCATCCTCTTCTTTGGATATCATAATCAGAAAAGGATTGTCCACGGACACAGGGCCTGGGGGTGAGGCTCCTGCCCTGCCTGCCCTTCTGACATCTCCCTGTGGACACAGGGCTTGGGGGGGTGAGGCTCCTGCTCCTCTGTCGTCTCCCTGTCGACACAGGGCCTGGGGGTTGAGGCTCTTACCCTTCTGACATCTCCCCGTGGACACAGGGCCTGGGGGGTGAGGCTCCTGCCGTGCCTGCCCCTCTGCCGTCTCCCCGTCAGGCTTCTCATCTCCGGTGGACGTAGTGAGTCCCCTCGCCACCAGGGGTATTTAAGAAAGACTGAGCGATCCCTTGTTGAAGTGAGGAAATCCTCACATCAACCAAGGTGACCTTAGCCTTCCCCTCCATGTACAGGTACCCCAGCTCTGTCCCAAACATGCCTTTGATCTCTGACCTTCGTACCAAAGTCAGATCTCAGGAATGGCATCTTTGATCTTCTGTTTGAATCACAGGTTAACTTTATTATGTGACGTTCAAGAGTTACTAAACCACCACTGTCTCCTGATCTAATCTGTATGTATTAATCGTTGTTATTAGGTGCCATCAAGTCAGGTACTCATAGCGACCCGGTGAACAACAGATCTGAACCCTGTCCTCTCCTGTGCCATCCTTACACTCCCTGACACACTAGAGCCCATTGCAGCAGTCACCGTGTCAGTCTCCCTGGTGGAGGGTCTTCCTCCCCTTTGCCGACCTTTTGACTTTCCGAGTAACAGGTCCCTCTCTAAGGAATAGCCCCTCCTAGAAACATGCCCGAAGTATGTAAGGCAAAACTTTATTATAGTTACTAAAGGATATTTGTGTCACTCTTTTTCCTCTTTTCGACTGACCTCCAGTCTGGGCTCTACCACTAATACTGTGACTATACACATTCCTCTGCTGTTCGTGGGGTTTTGAGAGGCCTGTTACATAAGAAGTGGGTGGCCAATCCTGCTTCCTCGTCTGTCTTAATCCGAGAACTCTACTAAAACCTGTCCACTATGAGTAACCCTTGTGGCATTTGACACACCAGTGGCATAGCTTTCACTGTCACAGCAACCCACAAGTTATCTTGGAACAGCACACTGACAGACAAGTACTGGACCAGTTAGAACAACGTTCTTCCCAAATAAACTGACAGTTTAGTTTGTTACTCTAATAGGAAATCAGTCTTCATACCAGGCCCAAAGGTACTACTAGAAATATTATTCTGATCAGAAGTTGTTGAAATATACCTTGGGCTAATTTTATTCCACCACAGTGGTAACACAGTTGTCTTGATCATCGTCTTACCAGGGAGCTCTGGGGGCTTACTGTTTTTGTTTTGTTTTGTTTTTTGAGGGGGCTTACTGTTAAGAAGCTGGGCTGCAATCCCAAAAGTATACAGTTCAAATCTGCCAGCTGTTATGCGGGAGAAGGATGGACAGTCTCCTTCCGTATGATTGGAAATCCACCGGAAGGTCAGCTATGGGTTGGCTCCGGCCCAGTGGCACACACAACAACATAATCTCTTACAGTGCTGGAGGTCAGAAGTCTCGCTGGTCCAGCGTCAAAGACCGCTTTCTTCGGGAAGCACTGAGGGAGAATCCATTCACTTGCTCTTTGTAGCTTCGCAGGCTATCCCATTTTTTTACTTGTGTCCCCTTCTCTGTGTCATCCTAATCTCTTGGATCTGTAATCACTTCTCTACTCCTGATGCTCATTCGTCCTCCTCCCACTTAAGAGGACCCTGATTGGCCAGAACAGCCTTCCCATCTCAAAGTCGCGAAAGGTGATATTCACCACTTTAGGGATCAGGTTTGGCCCCACCTTACATACATAGCATAAAATAACTAATTAAGATAATGCCATGTGGATCAAAAGCACTTATAAAATAATAATAGCCACAGTGATTTCTGGGTCTTTTTTAACAGAAAGCCTGAAACTCATCACTGAGCCCTCCCAGGTGGTTTCAGCAGGATTCTGGTACCATAGAGTCAGAACCAACCCCTAGGTGACCCTCTGACAGGTTTTCACAAACAAGCAATCAAACTGAAGGAGACTGCCAGACCTTCTCCTGCGGAGCAGCTGGTGGCCTCGAGCCACATGCCTTCGGGATTGCAGCACAGCTTCTTGCCACAGAGCCACCAGACCTCTCTTCAACAGGATCCTGAATCGGTCCCTTTTTTAAAAGAGAACCCTGCCATCATAAATGGGCAGTTACCCACGGTCAGTGAGCAGTCTTCTACGTTCCTTAAAGCACCTGAGTTCACCTTATTGTCAACATAGGGTCACACTTTAAAAAAAGAAAGATGTAGAGGGTTGGAATGGAACAAAAATTAGAGAATTGGTCAAGGAAAAGATATATAAAGATTTCACTGCAGTACTTGAAATTTTCCATAACTAAAATAGAATTCTAAAAAACGCCGCATTGCCCTCCAGCTCTTTCCCGTAAAACACAAGGATTGCTTCTGATTCTTTTTTACTAAGTGATTATTTAACCTTATTGCCGATAGAGACCTGCTTTCTATGGTAACAAACTTCCCTTTGGGAAGCCCCCACCACCACATTCTTCTTCTTCCTCTTCCAGCTTCACACGTTCCTAGTGATGGAACTTCTGAACGGTGGCGAGCTCTTTGAACGCATTAAGAAGAAGAAGCACTTCAGTGAGACGGAAGCCAGCTCCATCATGCGGAAGCTGGTGTCGGCCGTCAGCCACATGCACGACGTGGGTGTGGTGCACAGAGACTTGAAACCCGAGGTATAGTTGCCCCCCCACACCCAGCATGGCTTTGCAGCATCCCCAAAATACCTGTGCAGGGTTATGTTGATGTTGCTTTGTGTTTCATTTCAGGGTTCCCTAGATCACTTGAAAATATCCTGGGCTTGGGACCTTTTATTCCTTTTCTATTTCAGTCTAAAAGAAGTTTGTCTCCCCTCCCCTTTTTCTTTTTTTTTCTTTTTTCTCCAGCTGATCATCTTGATGTTATATTTGTAAGTGTGAGAGCCTTTTATGGAAGAAATACTCGATGCAACAGTTGTAGCCTAAAAATAGCAATGGAAATTTCTGTGGCAGAAAATAATATTCCTGTTAGATAGACCGTTTTAGAGAATTTTTAATAATTATAGACTCTGAAAGGTCGCTTTTCACATTTCTAATCAAATTGATTAGCTCATAGGTAGGAATGCGTGAAATCCCACTCTAAATATATTTAAGCAAAAAATTGCAATGGGCTAATTAATTGCTGCCCAGGCTTTTCTCTGCTCACAGAACTAGAATATTTCTAGAACAGTGTAAGGACAGAAGTAGCAACTTTTTTTTCTTTCTTCTTTTGAAAAGGTTCATAAGAAGGATGACTCTAAAATGATCTCATTTCTGTAAAAAAAAAGAAAAAAAGATTAATTAATGAAAATATCTCCCTTTTGGAAAACCATCAAGTAATAATGATAATGGAAAACCAGAAACCAACAATTTATAAAATGATAATAACGAAACATCCTTTGCCAGACGCACAATAATACATATGTCTTCTCAGGAGAGAACTTGTTTTTAGTTACCATGTGATAATACATTTTTGAGCACATTGAAGAGGGTCATTTACTTGCTATTTATCCCTTGTATGGTAGCCTACATTTCTCTAAAAGCACCATTTTTGCCTTTCATTGGAATATCTTGGATTACTACAAGAAGATGTTTTATAATGGAGCTCTTTACATACAAATAGAACTGATTTTTTCCCCTTTTATTTACATTTCTGCCTGTGTGCTTTCTATTATTGTTATTCATATTACTAGAGATTAACCAGAAGTGAATTGTTTTATGAACTTGCAGCTAGGAGAGCTGTCCCTCCACTTCCTTCACCATACTTCTCTCTCTCCTCCCTACACGCCCACAGAAAATATGGTGCTCTGCGTATCGGAGATTAGCTGTCTATTTTTAAGTTTGAAAGCACACCAGTTAAATGTTTTCTTGATAGACAAGGAACAAGCATGTAATTTTTTTAATTGAAAAGATCTGTTCCTGACTGTATAGAATTCGTTTTCTCATGTTTTATTCCCTGATAACTGGCCATCTGTTACCTCATGTGTCTTAAATGATACAACTGTCCTCTCAGGCAAAATTTCGATTTATCCTCCTTCTTTGCTAACTAAAAAGCTCTTATGTAGCCTAATTCTTCTTATTTATTACAGAGCTAGTCTTTTAAAAGGTCATTTGGCTTGAGCAGAATTGGCAGGAGTTTTAGGACATAAAAGTTGTAGTCCTAAGCCAGCTCTTTACTTGGACAAAGGAAAATTAGCTTGCTGTTAACATTTTTGTAATGAAACAGCTTTCACTGGGACTTCTAACGCAGAGTGTATTTTTTTTTCCAACCGTAAAAGAGACTAGGTGGTCTCTCACACCAGTGTAGCATTTAAGATGAGACTGTATGTATTTTGTTAGCTATTTGCATGGTATTCATCTCCTGCAGGACAAAATCCTTCAGCCTAGGTGAGAGTCAGAGAGGTTTAGAATCTGTCTGATACCCATGGTAGACTGCCTTGTACTTTTCCAAATGGTTGGTTTTTGTACTCTTCAGAGAGTGGTAAGAATGTCTGTCAGAGTGCTTGCAGGCAGAAACTATAGAACTGTCTCTAACATTTGAACTTGGAGGAGAAAGGGAGGTGAGTGAGCTGTGGGTTCAGATTTCCCATGTTCAAGAAAGGGATCATAGGCACCAAAATGACATTTCCTCCATTTTTCCTACTTCAAGGATGAAGGTCAAGGACATCATAGGTCTTAATATAGAATAAACCCATGTCATTCCCAGGACCTAGTGGGCTCAATGAAGTGGGGGCCGTGTGAGCCCCCTCTTTCCTCCCGCGTAGCCCAGGGCCTCCCTGCTCTCTGGAGGAGCTCACGTACTGCCTGCTGAAAGGCCTGTCCCAACCACTCTTCAGTTTTAACTTCAGTCATGAGGGAAGCTTGCATCTACTTACTGCTGTGTCTTAATTCCAACACAGATTGCGGATTACATACTGTATGATAGAAAACTTCTCTGCTGGGTTTTCTTTCCTTCCTTTTCTCTTTCTTCCCACCTTATTCATTTTTAACTTTTAAGTGGAAGGCTTCAAAGATTTTTCTTTGTGTTAATCAAGACTTCTGTGATTTTATTTCCATTAAAATAGTATCATCAAATCAAATACTGTTCCAGGACTGTGTACTAGTTGAATAAATGTAAAGGCATAACTAATTTTGCTAAGATTTGTAAAGACAATATAATCAGACTCAGTCACTGGGGGTACTAGCTAACAGAACTGATAAAAAAGTATCCATTCATCAGTACTATTGGCAGTTAGTAAGCGTGTAAATACAAAAGCAGCACAAAGTGTTAATGATCCAGAAACTTTAGTGGATGAATGATTCCAAATAACAATTTTCTATGAATTATTAAGGAATAATATCACTAAGCAAGTATTAACTGTGTAGGAGAAAATATTTCTGAAACATAGTGTGTATTTCCCTCTCTCTCCTTTCAGACCCCTAAACCCAGCTCCATCAAGCCGATTCTGTCATATGGGGACACTCAGTTGGGTCACCATGTGCAAGGCTAGAAGTCTTGATAGGACGTTGCCTCGTCTATCTCCTTGGGAGCAGCTCATGGGTTTGAACTGCCAGTCTTTCAGTTAACAGTTGAGTGCATAATCCACCACGCCACTAGGCTCAATAACAAATCATACTAGATGTATCTAACTGTCTTCTTTCTGACTTTATTTCATGAACAAATACTTACCATGTTCCTACTATGCAACTGTTTTAGGCCAGGCCTTGGGAATACAATCATAATTAAGGTAATACAACCCTTGGCCTCATGAAATTACGCGCTCTTGAGGGATGAAGCCTTTAAACTAATCATACAGAAATGATAAGTGCCAGCAAGGAACAGTAAATGTGAAGAGAGCTAACCTTCCTATGGTGGGAAGTGCAGGGTGATATGTCCATATGATATGCAGGCGTGAGGGTGGGTGACTGGCTGAGGAAGTAGAAACCAATCCAGCAGAGACAAGACCATAGGCAGCGGGCTGACTTCAGATGGCACAAGGCTGTGACCTTGGACAAGACGTGGAGCAGTTGAAAATTGTTTCCTGTGACACGGTAAAATTGGAGTAGCAAAGAAAATTAACACAGCAACAGAAGAAGGCATGCAGGCCCCAGACCCTCACCATCAGACCTCTCTTTCTCTGCGGAAATCAAAACATGGGTCTAGCGATGGTTAGCACCCCGTGAACGGGCTCACACATTCCAAGGCATTTTAATGGGCAGACTAATTTTAAGTGTGCATATCTTGCAGAATTTACTATTCACGGATGAGAACGACAACTTGGAAATTAAAATCATTGACTTTGGCTTTGCGCGCCTGAAGCCGCCTGATAACCAGCCTCTTAAGACCCCTTGCTTCACCCTCCATTACGCTGCCCCTGAGCTCCTGAACCACAGCGGCTACGACGAGTCCTGCGACCTCTGGAGCCTGGGCGTCATTCTGGTGAGTTCCTTCGGGCTCAGCCCTTGACCGATCCGTCGTCTGCCCTCCAGCTCTAAGCCCTCCTTCCTCTCTCCTCTTCAAGTCCTGAACAAGTTGGTAGATTTCCTTTTTATAAAAGTTAACCAAAGAACAGTTCCCCGCCTGGGACATCATCTTGGGGAAAATGTAAGAACTTTTCTTTGATGTGGGAGATTTCCGGTGGCCCAGTGGGTAGGGAGCTGTACTGCTAATGCAAAAAGGCTGTGCCTGTCTCACAGTTCGAATCCCCCAGTGGCTCCATGGGAGAAAGATGTGCAGTCTCCTCCCTTGTGAGAACCCACTGGAGGGTCAGCTGTGAGTTGGCTTTGATTGGACAACAGTGAGAGATTCTTTACATAAATCGAAGGGATACAACCACAGAGATGTTGCAGGCTCAGTTACCTTACAGACCATGACTCTGGCCATTACAAGAAAGCCTACAGATGAAGTGAGCCACACAGTGGTTTCCCAGTGTGTATGGAAATGATGCTTACACTATCCTGCAGATGATTATTAAGCAGAGTGGGGGACAGTTTGAAATAGAGTGAGAAGCACCACAGTATGATAGAGACCCATAGTGAGCACATGTCTGTTGAAGAAATGCTCACTGTAGACTTCCTCAACAGTTAAACAAACCTCCAGTTTGTCAAAAAGAAAAAAACACAGTGTCTGCAAAGTATAATACAGCAAAATACGGTATGCTTGTATTTTTCAAGAGAAATTATGTGCATATTGTTGTTGTTGATTGCCTTCAAGTTGAGCACGACTCATAGCAACCCTATGAACAGAAGGCCCGAAGCCTTTCTATAACTTTCGACATTTATCAAAGCTCATAGAGTTTCCGGAGGCATGATATTGTATTGAGCATAACATAATAAATTCCGTCATGAATTTAAAAAAAAAATAGCAAAATGACTCATTAATAGACATTTTAAAAAACTATTGCGAGAGAGTTCCTGGTGAAAAACACAAGCCAACAAATAGAAGAATTTAGAAAGATGATAACTGTGTCATCTTTCTACTGAACAGTGGTAAAAAATTTAAAAAGAAAGTAAAGAAATATGATGACTCCGTAAAATAAAAATCATGATGAGCTTGCTTCTCAGAAAATGCCACTGGCTGCCTGATCAGAAGCAGAGCGTTAGGCTGGGGAAGTTCAGGACGCATGTTTGTTTTGTTTCCTTTCATCTTTCCTTTCTCTATAGAGTTTATAATGCATGTTCTTAGGAGGTAACATTTCAGACAGAAAGACACAAGAAAGAAGAAATCCCTCCTGGTCCCACAGCACACTAAGATGGGATTTGTATACACATACCCCTGCCTTTTCCTATCATCTGTATCTGTCTGTACTTTCTATCTTCTACAGATTTTTCCTCACATGCATACATATTTAGATTTTTTTAACAAACAGCAGTATGTTGTACAAGTATTTAACCATTTATACACTAATGGGCAGTTAACATTCCTATGGGTTTTCAATTATAAACTGTACATTGTATTTGTTTGTTTGTTTTAGCAGGTGTTGGCGCTTATCTCATTTCTTTCGGATAGATTCCTTGGAGAATGATATGTGTTTCTTAATTTTGACACACTAGATTTTCTTCTAGAAAATTCTTGGACACTATCCAGTGATTACGTTGATCATCTAATATTAAACCCCAGTTTGCTTTTAAAATTTCATGCATTTCCTGATAGACCATTCAATGTGAGAATTTCTTGTCTCTTACCAACTGCTATTTTTTATCTTTCTCAATTTCCTTATGAGCATTTTTCTTGTTGAAATTTAAAGTTTAATTATTGTAATTATTTGTCAGGAGTATTATATATGTTTTTCCTGATTGATACTTGTTGGAAAATTTTGGTTATAGTGATAAGGGGTTTAGCTTTTATTCTTAGAGAAGTTTAAAAGGAATTTGTTTTAGTATCATAAGATATGTCGGTCCTTTTATTTATGAAGTGGGCCTTCCCTAAACTCAAGGTTATGAAAATATTCTCTTAAATTTAATTCTAAAAATTATTGCTATACTTAAATCTGTCCTCTCTGGGATTCCTTTTATTTCCTTGTCAGCTTTTCCAAGGACTAGACATTTCTCCTGCAGGATTTTACTTTTATTTTAAAGCTCCATCCGGGTTTCATTGAGCAATATTCAATATTATTAGTGTACCATTTACAAACTGAGCTTCCATAATTATGTAATATTATTTTTGTTGTTGCTGTTGTTGTTTTGTGCCGTTGAGTCGGAGCGGACTGTCCAGTCGCTTGTCAAAAGCCAGTAAATAGAGCAGGAGGAGGTTACCCATCCTTCTCCCACAGAGTAGCTGGTGGATTTTGAACCGTTTGCCTTCTGTGGATTGCAGTATAGCTTCTTACCACAATGCCACCAGAGCTTCTGTAATATTATTTTTAATATTTTTTTAAAAACTTCTGTAGATTGAAGAGTTGTATTTAAAGACTTATATTGGTGGTGTTTTAAATAGGAACACTGCCCTACTTGGAAAAACCATTTAATCCTAATAATGCTGTGAGGTTACTCTTTATGAATTATCTCTAGATTATGTCCATCATACACTCTTCAGTTTTAAAAGACAGTCTACATGCAGGTATGTATTTTACAATCTATAAATGCCATATCCATTGGCAGGATTTTAATGAAAAACTGGGACAAAGAGCAAGTTAAATGATGCCTCGGATGTCTAATAAACAATGTCCAGATTGTAAGGAAATTCTAAAAGAAAGCAATGCATTTTCCTGGCCAATAAGTTCAACAGGCAAAATGGTGTGGGAGGTCATTAAAAACCACTCAAGAGACCATTTGTATCTTGTTTGAATCCTGATCCAAACAAACTCCCAACTTGTAGAAATATTAATACAGAATGTATACAATGTATATACTTACAACTGAGGACATTTAAATAGTGGTTGGCGATTGGATAAGTAACATAGAGCTAAAAAAGCCTTTTAACACTGGCCCAGAGCCTGCAGCCTGGAAGGCAGAGGGTGGGCCTCCCCGTGACCATGCCTGAGGAGAAGCCATCCTGACTGAAGAACCGTGCACTATCCTGTTAGTTCCTTAATACACTCCATAATCCAGAAGGAGGGGAAGTGACTCAAGATACACCTCATCCCTGGAGCCCTACAAAACAATTTCTGGCCTCACAGTCTCCTTAACCTTGGTGTGGTTTATTGGTCACCCTCTGCGGTGTCTACGGCTTGAAGAACGTGTAGGATCTATGCTGGTTCCTGCTCGCCTGGTCTGGTTTAATGGCAACACTGACACAGAGCCTGTGTGGCATTCTTAATGGCATGAAGGTGTTCTAGGTCCCCTGTCCCAGTGCTAAATGGAGGGTTAGTACAGCCCTGGAGCAGGTCTGGGAATGCTGCTATTCCACGGACAGACTTAGGGCTTTGATTCCTCCCTTTAAAGGAAACCAAGAATCAGATTAACAGGTGCTTGTGCCTCATTCGGCAGGGCAGCTGCACTGGGAACACCCAGCTGAGTAGATGGTGGAAGTCCCCTGTCGCTAGCCACAGTCCATCCATGTTGGGTAGGCGACAAACAGGTAGCTTGGATGGGGATATAACGAGTGTAGGGGGTGCCTGCTACTCTTCAAGTCTTGGGAAATGAATCTGTGAGATGAAGTTTGGCTTTTATTTACCGTCTTGACCCAGAAGAGTTTCATGGGTTTGCACATGTCACTTCCACCCGTAATGACTCTTAGACCACAATTCAGGGGACCAGTATGCATGCTAGGACAGGAGTTGTTGTTGTTGTTGTGTACTGTGAAGTAGGAACAGATCTATAGCTGACCCTCCAGTGGGTTTTCAGAGGCAGTTAATCGCAGTGAGGAGATTGCCCATCTTTCCACCTCGCAGTGACTGGTGGATTTGAACTGTGTGCCTTTGGGATTGCTGTGAAGCTTCTTACCACTAGGCCACCAGAACGCTCTGTGACAGAGATAAGACTGTCCAGCTCGGTATACTGTTCTGTGGCTTTACGGGCTAATTGGACTCACTGCAAGATGAGCTTTGGTCAAAGCTCCATTTCCCATCTGATTAAATAAGTCTCTTTAAAAAAATAATAATAGTAATCTTCATAAAGATTTTGTTTGCATGTGGTATTAACTGCATTGTTTAATCATTCCCATATTCTACTAGATCATCTTTCTTGAGAAAAGGAACAAATACAGATCTAGTCAGTTGGTAGTTATCTTCCAGGGTTCTGGGCACAGCCTGTCAGTACATCCAGGTATACATCTGTTTGTTGGAACATATTGCTTGGTATTACATCAACTCCTGGGGCTTTTTTTTTTTTTTCTAATGCCTTCAGTGTAGTTTGAACGTCTTCCTTTGTTACCATTGGTTCTTGAACATATGCTATTTCCTGGAATTACTAGAATAGCAAAGCATATCAACAGATAACTGCCAGAAATGTAAGCGGGATTTAGAAGAGACCATGGCACCAGTGATATCATTCCTGATGTCCGCACCAGTGATATCATTGCTGATGTCCAAAGGATCTTGGCTGAAAGCAGAGAATCCCAGAAGGATGTTAGTGTGGGTTTTTGTTAGTTTGTGTTTTTTTTTTTTTACTATGCAAGAGCATTTAACTATGTGGATCAAAACAAATTATGGCTAACATTGAGAAGAATAGAAATACCAGATACTTCAGTTGTGTGCATGCGAAATCTATACCTACTCCAAGAAGCTGTTCTCAGTACAAAACAAAGAAGTACCACATGCTTTAAAATCAAGAATAATGTACATTAGGACTGTATTCTTTCTCTGTGCTGTTCATTCTGTATGGTGTATACATCATTCAAGAAGCTGGACTTGAAGAAAGTGTTGTCAGGATCAGAGAAAGACTCACCAACAAACTGTGTTATGCAGATGGTACAACCTTGCTTGCTAAAAGTGAACAGGACTTGAAAGTCTTGCTGCAGAATGTCAAAGACTGCAGCTTCAATATGGATTACATATCAGC